AGTAGCCTCGGTGGGACTTGAACCCACGCATGGACGCCAAACAACTATTTGAACAATTAACCTTGTCTTAGAAGCTCATTCGGTGGAGTCCGGTGAATTCTAAGGAAACCCTGTCGAGGCAGTCAGCTTACATTCTTACTGGTGGATGCCACATGCCTCTGTAAGTTGGATCGGTAAATTCGAATGTGAAAAGACCAGTCCTGTCGGTGTGGCCTCGTAGCTCAGCCGGTAGAGCGTGCACGTACAACGCGTAGGTGGCGTCCATGCGTGGGTTCCAATCCCACCGAGGCTACTGAAATTTTCATAATCGACATACAAACTTCAAAATTGTCAAACAACGATAGGTTATTGAGTATTTCATTTCGGACAGCTGTTCACGCCGCATTCAACGAGTCGGATTTGGATACCCGACAAGCAATGTTGTAATCAGGTTGAGTATTATCGCTAATCGCGGTACGCGTGCTAGAACAGTTGGTCGACCTGCACAGACTACGTTGTTTGCGGCATGTGTTACGCATGCCAATAAATTGATTGTCACGATGTGTGCTGTTTACCGAGGAAGGTGGTGGGTGAAATAAATCCAAGGGTGGTCAGAATAAGACCTAGCACGAGGGCATGAAAACCCTGACCAGGAAACTCCGTTGTTGAGGACCTCCGGATCATTGTAATCAATGGTTAGACACATTGAGTGATATGGCTGAGCGTCATAAACCGTGCCGCTCGTGCATCTTCTCAATTTCTTCAAAATCTTAGTATACCGGAATTCTCCATGTTATCTTCGACTCCACTTGTTAAAACTGAAGCTGCATTTCGGACACCTTGAGTTCTCATGATTGCAAAATTAACCCCACTTCTGACGTACCACTCCCAGTTAATTAGTTGAACGGACTGGCGAGACAGGCCTTAAATTGACAACGGTTTGTTTCGCAGATCGGATGAACAAGGCTGGCTAGCTATTTAGTTTGTGATGGGCCACATAATAACAAAACAATGGATAACACCATCTACCTGTTCGATTGGCGTCAGAAAAGTACTCGTATGAAAGAACTCCCACTAGGCTGATTACACCCTAGATATCTTTTAACCATTATGGATTAGGGGCTCCAAGAAGTGGTTAAAATCATTAAAGCATCTGAAAATGCTTTTTTAAAAGAATTTTCGGTCAACTGGACACATTGAATACGATTACCAGAAGGGTGAGTGGAGCATGCGAACAAAAAATGAAATCACACTCACCGTCAGGAGTCCAGCCAGCACGTGTGAGATTTGTGTTCACTTCGTCCCAGAACGATTGACTTACATTGCTCGGAATCGCCTTAATCATTCGATCTGCAAGACTGACAGAAAAGGAGTGAAAATAAACGCATCGATTGAGTCTCATAAGTCCTGAACCTCATCATCAATCTCCACAATGGTGTTGAAGAAATGATTCAACTGACTTGTGCGGTGAGTGCTCATCAGATAAATGAACATAATGCATTGGTAACATGCTTATAGATTGTTTCCCGAAGTGACTAGATTGAGTAATTTGGTGGATGAAATAAAAAGATCGGTTCACTTATTAGGAGATTTTGCAAATACCAGCTGAAAAAAACGTGTCGGAAAAATAACACCATGACCACACGGTATTTGCACTTAGATTATTACTACTGAAATGTCAGCAGTAGCACAAAAATGAAAGCGAAAATTCCAGGCAAACCACGGGGCAACCGGTACTGAAAAGATCACCCACCTGATGGGTTTCGTATAGGCCGTTCGTTCCGGATGGGTAGAGGTCCAAACGCAAGTGTGGCGACAAATCATTGAGACAACCTTTGACGGAGACTGAAATTGTAAATAAAGTGTGTCACACTATGAGTTTTCCGTAATATATCTTTTCACGGGACTGAATGGGAAAAGCAATAGTTTCCATGTTACCGCACTCATTTAGATGCCTATTCCAGTTCATTTTTCGTCTAGAATAGAACATAAAATATTCATTTCCCCTTATTCTTATCAGTAACGCACATCAGTGGATCTAATCCTTAGAAATTTATCAAAGAGTCTCCCACAATCACCATATATATGAATATTCCTATCTGAAACACCAGATTTTAAATGGTTAAAAAAGATTTTATGCTAGATCGCTTCTTTGGACTATGACCCTCTGTCAACATAGTCATTCTTCACTTAGCTAGTGGTAACAGCCGTAGGATCTACAACTGTTGTTATGTTCCACGTATTACCGGTAATGTCAAAATTAATCATCACCACATTAACGGTAAAATCGGATGCTGATGCGAGCAGCGGAGAGCCATGTGAAGGTCATAATGGTGTTATCAGTAGTGGTGAAACTAATAGTTATTGAGCTTTCGCGAGGATGTGTATCCGTGATAGCAGTACTAGAATCTGTTTGTAACAAAAGCAATACTAGTATCATTTGTGGTGTTCACCGATAATAAAAGCATTAGACAGTGTTAGCGGAAGCAGCAACGATAAAGAAAAGGATAAAAACAGTTTCATTTCAAATGGGAATTCGTCGTGTATATAGCAAATGAAGCGTGAACCGGGACTTCATGGGCAGAACACAAGCGTGCTACCCACTACGCCACCGAGCAGCTGATCANACCGTTTTTTCATTTTCCATTTACACGATATAGCACAACCCATCTTTGAAAGTTTGTTGCGGACCACGGACCCTGCTCAACTCATCACTAGCCTCCGGGGTTATGACTCGGTTGGAAACATTCACAACCTGACTGATTATTTCATGTGAGTAGTATTAGTGCTGAGTTGAGCAGGGTCCGTGGTCCGCAACAAACTTTCAAAGATGGGTTGTGCTATATCGTGTAAATGGAAAATGAAAAACGGCCTGATCAGCTGCTCCGTGGCGTAGTGGGTAGCACGCTTGCGTTCTGCCCATGAAGTCCCGGTTTCGATCCCCAGTCGGGTCGAAGGATTCGCACTGCTGATGAGACCCAACCAGGGACGAAACAGCTGTCCAGTGCTTCCAAGCTTTTCAGTTCACGCTTCATTTGCTGTATACACGACGAATTCTCATTTGAAATTTAACCAAATCCTCCATTACTCACATGAAAAACAGTTTCAGTTTTCACAACTATCAGCCATGCACATTTGTGCGGTGGTTTTGGTTGCACCGTTTTCTCTGCCCATTGGGATGAAATATTAGATCGAAGATTGGAATTTGGAAGTCAGTATCAAGGTGAAAATGGGGAAATATAATAAAACTAAGAAGGCCAAGAGATTGAGAAAACGCACCAGTGGCACCGTTGAGGGTATTCAGTCATACCACTTAGTGTTTCTAACCATCCGCTTCGCTGACTCCGAGGTTGCCCTTCAAGAGGACCAGAACGACCAGTGTTAGCGAGTCTTCCGATCAGAGCTTTGATACTCTCCTGCCACCTTTTATTTTTTGCTATTCACTAGCTGCCTTGGTAATCATGGCAAGCTCTTTGGTGACATGTGTAACACATGCCCCAACCAAATAACTTACCGAAGTCGATCACGTGTCCCAGTGGGTGAGTGAAACTACCTGGAACTCTGAGTCAAACCTCAGCATTGCTGATCAGATTGACCTAGAAGACTCTGCTATACGGCTTAAATACCGGTCATCGGTGGTAGCAGTAGTAGTAGTAGTAGCAGTAGTAGTAGTAGTAGTAGTAGTAGTAGTAGTAGTAGTAGTAGTAGTAGTAGTACTAGTAGTATGAAAAGCGTAATGTTTCATGAGTTGACGTTAGAGCTCATTTTAATCACTGTAATTAAATTTGAAACAAATCTGATTGGTTTGTTTTATTGCACCATTTTGTTGTTAACCCACTTCATCACTAGACTGGAGGCTCTGTTGTATCAACTCTGCACAATAGTGTCATGGTCGAATAATCGATGGTAATTTTCCAGTTTCTGTTCACTCGTCTTCCGTGTCTATTTAGGGACACCATTATTGCATCTGATTAGCTCCCTGTGTGTGAAAGCAATGTATGGTACCGAACGAATTAACAACCTTCGCTCAGTTTACGGCCCGGACTGCCCGGTCAGATAGACAACCGATATTACAAGCACTGATATGTACGCACAGAAGAGTTTGTTTGAGCACAGAGACATACGCACTTTTACACAAACATACCCCCAGAAACAGTGAGAGAGAGAAACAATCAGTAACCCGGAAACAAAGCCGTAGCCAAGAGAGAGAGAGATTCGAACGTCCTGTCTGACAACTGTTGGACACGTCCACGAAATGCTATCGATTGGTCTGATAGTACGACGGAGATTGTGGCAAAAAGACTTGCAAGACCGAACCGATTCGGGTAGACGCTTTATAAGACACCATGGACACACATATGCACACTATTCTGGTGCTCAATCAGTCATGCATAGCTCAACACGTCCGGGTGTACAAAGCCCCAGTGGTGAGAAATAGACAGAAATTCACAAGAAAAGCTCCACGTGCGAAGGATGGGTTGAACAAGTCAGAACAGGTTATTCGATGACCATTGACTTGAAAATCTCTGAGAATCCGAAAAGGTGGATTGAGGAAGCGGTGGAGAAGGAAAATTCGTCAATTCATGGTCCAAGAAATACCATCAACGAGGCGATTAAAATAGTCAACTAAAATCGGATCTGCCGTCCTTTCGCTTACATATATGAACATACTAATCTTAAGCGCGTTATTCTGTAGAGCGTAATTATGGGCTGCAAAGGTTAGTTCACGCAGAGCTTTTGAAACTCAGATTACATATCACGAGCTATGACAAAGATTTTATTTTGTGTTGAACTCGAAACTATCAAAACTCACGTCTAGATCCTTTGGAAAAACGAAAATGGACATGGGCAAATGTGTTTAATATGATGGCGATTTCGATAAAAATCGAAAGAGAGAGAGAGAATATATCGCCAAGATGGAGTTCAACGGAACGATTGTATTCAAAGAACTGAAAAAATTGAGGAACATGTTTTGGGGAACCCGTACAATTTTGGGAGAGGTATCTCTTTTGACAGAAACAAAATTGTTTAATCTTGCCTATGAACTTTTCCGAAAGGCGCGGTTTGGCTTTCAAAACCGAATAGGATTCTGTAATCTTATCTCAACGAAGCACGGTTTGATTCTCGGATATCTAGTTAGAGCATATTAGCAAAAGCGAACTAAAATCGCTAAAAAGCCACTACCACTACCGCCACCATTATAGAATCTCAGCTCGACAGAATTGTATAAAGAGAGACCACTGTGCTCATATGTACCGCCCCGTAGACTGTCACATCGCTGATGCTACTTGATTGAGACTAGTAAGTTTTTCTGCCAGACAACTTCGTTGCAGAGCTTCACACTTTGAAATAATGACGGACTATTACAGTGATACACTTGAAACATGTATCATGCAAGGAGAGGCAGGCACGGCGGTACCAAATTTCGAACTGACTTCTTGATAAAAATTGATTATATCATTGGCCTAAAACTTAACAGTTTTCAATCACTTCAAAATAATTTAGTTTCCCACTTCTAATCGTTAGGATTCGGAACTCCTACTGATGACTGATTGATAAAATTCGGTCACTTTACCCCAACAAAAGCCCAGGAGCACCCTTGTCCCTTGGTTTTCGTATCGCGCACGCTCCGTCGCGCCTTCAGGTGTTTTAATAGCCATCGAAAACGGTTGTCTTTGTTAGACTAGAGGGAGAAGAAGTTGAAAAATCCCTAATCACAAAATAAGCGGGATAAATTGGACCAGAACCAAGCAAAGACATTGAATGTCACCGTATCGTCAAGGTCAAACCACCGTGTTCGTGGTTTGGATTCCAGCAACACACACTGAGAATAAATACGTTCATTTCGGGGACCTGGCGTGAAACAATTGCGGATATCCACAGTTATCCGAGATGATAGTGATAAGGAAACATAAAACATTTTTCCTAGCCATTAATTTCGCATCGTCAAACTAAGGTTTAGGCTGCTCTTTTTCGATGACTCACTTGATTGAATTGAGTAAACAGACGAGTTAAAAACTAAAGCGACCACATCAAGTGAACTAAATCTGTGAAGAAAGGGACTAGATACACTCAGTGTCACTAACCGTCGACCATGTTGCCCAAGAGGTTCATAATCAAGAGAGTAAATACGACCTATGTGTTCAAGTGTCTATACCCTTGTGACAAGCTTTAGTTTCACTGCCACTATCTGCCGCGACTGAGTTTATCCAGCATTCCTAGTGTTTGCCTAGCGACCCTTAACATACTTGTCTAATGTGGCCTACACAGTGGTGTTCGAGAACACCTACGGCCTGTTTCCCTCCTCTTCTCATTTCGACCAGGTTTTGCATCATATAGTAGCACCAAACGGCCTGTGGTAGCATAAATTGAAACCTCATCGGAACACGGACTGTCGTGGTAACATACTGAAAAAAGAGATAAGTCTTCATGTTTCAGTGTCTGCAACGGATCTACTTTCCCCGAGCCTCTCGTCAAATACAGTCACTCAGGATAAGCTAAACAGATCAGAGCTACTCAGTTTACTCAACACTGCGATAAAAGCTAAACATGAACTTGTTGCAGTGATTAACATAATGCGGCTACCTATTATATATGATATATATATATATTCAGAAGACAAATCATTATAACTGAATCATTAATCCAGGGGTGAAATTCCAGTACATAAATCAAGTAATTACTTCACTTACCGACGGGGAAAGTTGTTCCACACACTCAGTTGTCTTCCCGTAAGTTAGGGACAAACGAAATTCATGAGAATATCGATTTCCCGATGGAGTAAACATACGTGTGCCATTGAATCGATGCTCGCTGTCATTCGT